GGTGTGGGGGGGGGGAAATCCCAACGTGTTAAAAAGTAAAAAATAAAAACAAAAAGTGAATTATTAAAAAGGAAGAAAAAACAATCAAAGTATAGATGCATTTGAAAAGCAATTATATAAATATATATATATACATAGAATACCTATCTATATATATATTTTGTTATGTTATTTAAAGGGTCGTCCTTTAAATTGTATGTAAGTAGCTGTGGCTGTAAGCACTTTGTGGATTGTTAACACTCGCAGGTCCTGAGCTCCTGTACATACCTCCAGTTCCAGAAGGAATTCTATTATGTTTTAGCATGGTAATTTATGTATTGTATGTCTGAGTAGGAACTTAAAAGTGATAAATAAATAAATAAATAAATAAATAAATAAATAAATAAATAAATATTGGTAAATTACCAGAAACCAAGATTGTAAAATAAATGTTTTCATGGCAAAAAAAACCACAACCCAAATCTTGGCTTGATTTGCATTTTTTCCCCTTCTTTCGTACAATCTTTGCTGTTTTCTAGCCAAAATGGATTTTAATTGAAGAGGGAATCCATAAGTGGTAGCCGGGTTCATTGTACAGACAGTCCTCGACTTACAACCATTTGTTTAGTGACTATTGGAAGTTACAACAGCACTGGAAAAAGTGACTTATGTCCAGGTTGCACACTTAACGACCATTGTGGTAATCTGATCAATATTTATGACCATTGCACTGTCCCTGGGGTCACATAATCCCCTTTTGCGACCTGACAAGCAAAGTCAATGGGGAAGCCAGATTCACAACCGTGGGACTCACTTAACTGCAGCGATTCGCCTAGCAAGAAAGGTCATAAAACGGGTCATAATTAACTCAACAAACTTCTTAGTAACAGAAATGTTGGACTCCATTGCGGTCGTAAGTCGAGGATTACCTGTACTGGCTGAGGAATTCTGGCTGAAAAACAAACCGCCAGTCAAGCTTGAGTTAAAAGGAAACAAGGGATTCAATTAAAGAGAAAAGAGGCAAACTGTAGGAAACCAAGAGAAAGATTCTTCTCCATATTGCTCAGCAACTAAGCACCTTCCATCCTTGTGGATAAAAGTAGAATTAACTTAAATTTCTCCCCAAAAGAAAGCGAAAAAGCAGCCACTTCAAATTCCTTGCTCCCCTTGTCTCAATTGCAAATTTCAGCCCTTGATTTGGAGCCATGATGGCACAGTGATTAGAATGCAGTGTTGCAGGCTAACTCTGCGCACTGCCAGTAGTTCGATCCTGACCAGCTCAAGATTGACTCAGCCTTCCATCTTTCCAAGATCATTAAAATCAGGGGTGGGATTCAACCGGCGTTACTACCGGTTTGGTGATTATGTTTTGTGGCAGCCCCTCAAATATTGGAACCCTGCTATCACGTCACCCTGGTCCTAGTCTCTTCTCTGGCTTCCTTCCAAAATTTTAATCCTGGCTTCCACCTTTGAGACACCAACTTTTGCATCGGAGCTGAAATAACAGATAATCAGAGTTGGAAGGGACCTTGTAGTTCATCTAGTCCAACCCCCTGCCCAAGCAGGAGACCCTACACCATTTCTGACAGAAGGCAGTCCAGTCTCTTCTTGAAAGCCTCCAATGATGAAGCTCCCACAACTTCCGAAGGCAAATTCTGTTCCATGGGTTGATTGTTCTGTCAGAAAGTTTCTCCTTATTTCCAGGTTGAATCTCTCCTTGTTCAGTTTCCATCCATTATTCCTTGTCTGGCCTTCAGATGCCTTGGAAAACAGCTTCACCCTATCGTCCTCTCTGGGGCAGCCCCTCGAATATTGGAAGATGCTCTCCTGTCTCCCCTAGTCCTTCTCTTCCCTAGACTAGCCAAGCCCAGTTCCTGTAACCGTTCTTAATTTGTTTTAGTCTCCAGTCCCCTCATCATCCTGGTTGCTCTTCTCTGTACTTTTTCTAGACTCTCAACATTTTTTTTATAGTGTGGTGACCAAAACTGGATGCAGTACTCTAGGTGTGGCCTTACTAAGGCTTTATAGAGTGGTATTAGTACCTCACTTCATCTTGAAATGGCCCTTTAAGACCGAGTTGAAACCTAAACCACTGGTGGGGAGAGCATATGAGACACCGCGGTTATATTTCTGGAGCCTTCAAGTAACATGTGGCAGATCCCTGGGGAACCCCAAGCCGTCAGGTGCTTCTGGTCTTCTCCAGCTTTTTCCCACCTCCTTGCCCTGCAAGGACACACAAGAAGGAGCTGCACCTCCGCGAACGGCTGCCTCGAACCCTTGCCATGTCGAAGCACATGGAGTACACTTCCTACCCAAGAGATTGTCCCACCATGGAGAACTTGGAGAGGCAACTCATCTGCCCCATTTGCTTGGAGATGTTCACCAAACCTGTGGTCATTCTCCCATGCCAGCACAACCTCTGCCGGAAATGCGCCAATGACATTTTTCAGGTTAGTCGTTGGTGTTGGTGGGGAAACCTTTCAAGGCAGGGGATAGTTGTTGGAACAGTTGACTCTCAGAATTGGAGAGCAGAGTTGGGTCAACCCTTTGGGGAGTTGGGAAGGTGCCTTCAGAGGTTTTCAAGGATCACAGCGGATGGGAGAACGAGGTGGTTGGGATTGTATTATGTGTGTTTCATGGTGGCTGGGATGTTCTGTTATTCAGAGGATAGATACAGTTGTCCATTAAAAAAAACAATATTAAGTCTACTTTAGACTTTGAATTTTATGCATTTCTTCCTCAAAAAGGCAGGAAACAGAAATTCAGCAGGGAAAGGAAAAAATGGGTTTGGAGACCTAAGGTTGCATTCCTACACCCAGATAAACTTTAGAGCAGCGTCTCCCAACTTAGCCATTTTAAGATGCGTGGACTTCAACTCCCAGAATACCCAGGTATTCCTGGAGTTGAAGTCCACGCATCTTAAAATGGCTGAAGTTCAGAAGCAGTCCTGCAAGGGATACTGGCATTGCTGGCTGAGGTATTCTGGGAGTTGAAGTCCACGCATCTTAAAATGGCTGAAGTTCAGAAGCAGTCCTGCAAGGGATACTGGCATTGCTGGCTGAGGTATTCTGGGAGTTGAAGTCCACACGTCTTAAAATGGCTGAAGTTCAGAAGCAGTCCTGCAAGGCAGGGGTCC